TCAGAACTTCTAACCGGAACGTGCAATTACTGAATGCGCAAAAACGCGTAAAAACATACTAAGTGGCGAAGACTTCTAATTTTTGAGTACGTCGTAGAGAAATATTCGGATTTGTGACAAATTGCTAGTTACCTGCAATTTTATATGTGTGCGTATAATCGAGTTACAGAATAACTTTCATTTATAGTGGTAAAATATACTCGAGGGAACATTTTCGAGTAGGAGAACCTTTAAAACCAAACCACGAGTAACCAAACGGATATTAAAAACTCATTGTGATTAGAGAGGAAGTCTTTTTCGGATCGCCAACAGTAACGGTTGGTTAAAAGCAAGTTCCGGGCGAGGGAATCCTTGCAACAGCGACTCCTGGCAGTCTGACACTTTGATTTGAAACCCGAAGACATCTGGAACATAGTCAGATCCCAAATTTTAGACATGACCTGAGCATAATATTTGAAAATGCTTCGACCATTTTTCATTTCGTTTAATTGAAAATTTCAAAAACACTTAAATTAATTGTTTATTCACTCCTAATTTGTCCAATTTCTAAACGGTTAATAAGTAATTTGCACATAATGCTGCTATTATTAAAATTTAACAAGGTGATTCCCCGAGTATAATTAGAAAGGTATAAAATTCGCAAAACTACGGCGATGGTTTCCAGTTCCCAAACCGACCGAGAATGACCAGGTAAGTGCGGTGGCCAATCGACGCAAGCCCCTTTAAATTAGACACCCCTAGGGAAATGAAACTTTTCATCTTGGCGGTTGCAGTGGCAGTGCTGGCAGTCTACAATGCCGACGCGGCCTGTGAAGACAAAGAGCTTCCGTGCGAGTGCCAAATCGGTGTGGGAAGTTGGATGGGTAGCGGCGATAGGTGCATATACGCCTGTGTTGTCGACAATTACAGATTTAGCTGCGATCAAGTGGACGCAATTTACGTTAATCAGCAGTCGCAGGTTGCTTGAATTGTTGATTTTTTAAGTATACTCATTAAGTTAATTAAACGCCTAATTGCAAATTAAGTACGCAAGCAACCCCAATTTAAGTGAAATTACTACGTAATTATTAATTAATTGGATAAAAGTCTACATTTACTTCGTAAACATCGAGAAATTGGATAGATTACCCTAATTAGAAAGAACCTACAAAGATAAATACGTCTCTAGTTTTAATTAGGGCAAATAAACGTAAATGTAATTTAGAGACAAAGATTCTATTTTAAATAGATTAACGACAACACATAATAAGAAGCCAATTAAAATTTAAAAAATTGCTGTAGTGTTTCACTAATGAGCCAAATTAGCATTAATTATTTTTAATTACAATAACAAAGGAGATTAAATGGTTTGTAAATTTATTGTTAAGGCACCTTGAATTCGGGTTGCAAGTTTAAACCACGACCTTCTATTGTCCCAGAAAACATCACTGGTGATATGGCAACCAGGAGTCGTAAATTTCTTCCAGGCCATTGGGAGTCTTCCCCTAACAATGTAAAGTTGTCCACAGCCAGACTTCTTTAGTACTTACCTCTTCAAAGAACCTAAAGAGGTTCTAGAAAGGGCTCTTTCCATTAAAGATACTGCAGAGCACCCTAAACGTGATTCAGAGTTTTATTAATTCACCTGTTCAGAGCGACCGACGTAATGGTTTGTAGAGCTCTATCCCGTCTGCGCCCTAGGCCTTTCACTACCGTTTCAAGACTTTCAGTTTCCCTTTCCAAAACTTTCTAGGACCTTTCCTAATTTTTGTGGTCTGTGACGCTTTCCAGAACTATTAGTTTCTTCCAAAGCAAAGGAAAGCTCTCCGGGGCAATGGCAGTCTGCCCATAGCATTCAACCGCCCTCTCCCAATCTTTCAGGGCCTTTTCATAGTCTTCTTAGTGCTTCCCATTTCATTAGAAGCCTTTGCAGAAAAATCTTAGGTGTCCCATGATGTCTTATCGCTCCACCAAGCATTTCCAAAGTTTTTCACAGCCTGCATAAGGATTTCCAGATCATAGAAGTAGTTTCCAGGGCATTCGAGGTCGCCAAAGCTATCTATTGGCCTTTACGAGCCTTTCCAAATTTCGGCACTCTCCGGACCTACTTGAGGCCAGTTTTACAAGTGCCTTCCGGAGTGTTCGAGGGTTTCACTTAGCATCTGGTCTCTTCAGAGTATTTCATCCCGCATTATTTATGCATTTTCCTTACTTTTTGATCCTTTTCAAACCCTTTTTTACAGGTTCCATAGCATTCAATCACAATTTCAGGACTTGTTACGGCCAAGGCCTTAGCAAGTTAAGAGCTTACCGCATTAGAGCATTTTGTAGTATTAAAAAGCTCTCCAGAACTATATTTAGATCGTTTTAAAAGACTGTTTAGGTGTTTATACGTACTTTCTACACAGCGAGAACTCCAAGGCAATCTATTACCCTCCTACACTTTTGGGACCCTTTCCGAGCTTCTTCAACCGTTCCTCGGCAGTTTTGTGCTCCAAAGAGTTCAACGTACTTTAGGAGATAAGCAATACCGGTTTCCGTGCAATTTGACCTTCAGATATGCGCACGCGCCCAGTACAAGGTCATTCGATTCGGAAACAGGTTGATTGAGCAGAAACGAGTCTGTATCAGAAACAGGTCTATTCAATAAAATCAGATCCGTCCCATAGAACCCCCCCCCCCTCTCTGCTACTTTTTGCTTTCCGAATCAAGTTCTGCTTTTTAGTGGTCTCCCATACACCCTTAACCTTTTCTAAAGCCCTATAGGTGCTTTCCAGAACATTTTAAGACCAGACCCAGAGCAGCCGATGCCCCTCCTACCCTCCCAAGGCTTTTCCGTTCTTTTCTACGCCTTTTTTCTACACCTTGGCCTTTGTTCGAAATTTCAAGAGCTCTGTAAGTGCGTTCCAGAGCGTTTGAGGGCACCGAAGTAATCGAGAGCTCTCCAGAGTAGGTATTTCATCCCCCCTCCCCCCGAGAAGCTCTTTATATTCTCCCCATTTCGCTTGTGAAACGGACAAAAAGGTCAAACTATCACTCTCTCAGAACGTATTAAGGCTCTTCTTAGAATTTAGAGAGTCTTCCAGGTGCTATCCAGGACAATCGTTTCAAAGCCAGCTATTATTTACTCTTTCAGCCCTTTCCAAACCCTTTTGGGCCATTTGACCCTCCTCAACACCTTATTAACGCTTCCCAGGGTGTTATAAGTGCCTTCCAGGTACTCGAAGGACTTCAATTAGAAATCGAGGCCCCTTCAGAGTATTCTATTGCCCTCCCAAGGGTTTGCTTGATCCTTTCTTAACCTTCTCAACCATCTACATGGTACCAAAAGCCCTCAAGGTTATTGATTGCACTCATTTTAGACCCATTCCCCGCCGGTTTGACCTTTTTAACACTTTCCAGTCTTATAAATGCCTTCCAGGATATTCGAATGTTCTAACCTTTCCCCAGAGTTCTCTTCAAGGCTTTCTCAACTTCTTGGACCTTTACAAAACTTTATTGTTTAGATCTTAAAGATGCTTTCTAAGACCATTCTGATCTTTTGGAGCTTTATAACACCTTCCTACCTCTTTCTAGTGCCTTAAAATGCTTTCTAGAGCATGTCAAATTGTCCAAAGCAACAGGAGTTACTCCAAAGTGTCAATATACGAATCCGAACAACCATTCATAGTGAAAAATACGTTAGAATGAAGCACTTTCAGATCAGAAACGAGTGTGCATGCAGACAAGATTCAAAACACCACAGTGTTGCCGGTTCTAACGATCGCTCTTACGGAGCATGAGGCTTATTGCGAGGAAAAGATTCTTCGCTGCACCTATGTAAGTCGTGCGGCGCATTTTAGATTGCGTAACGTTTATTTTCCACTGAAAATGTCAATCGAGGTATACGGAAGAGTTAACAGCCGCGTAATCGATATTTTCATTGCCACATTTCCGCATTACAAGAGAAAACTGTGCCGCCAATTCAACGGAAGTTATTTTCGGGTATGCTTAATTTTAAATTCATTGCGAGTTGCCACGAGTAAAACTAATATAAAATGGCGCATTACGTGAGCGAACATTTCTTTTGTTGCATTACTTGATGAGCGTTTAACCAAATTTTGACCACGAAAGCGTTGAGGTCAAAGGTACAGAACGTTTCATTGCGTTTATACTTGGAGTAGTTGGTTGCGATAAAAAAAACAAGTTTATTAACCAAATTTGTGCACCTTTCTTGCTTATACGGGGCGATAACAAGATTCTGAATTAGACGGCGACCGGTAAAAGGTTTAAAGACGATTAATTGGTGTTTTTGCTGGCTGTTAAGACACTAAATATACAAAGACAAAATTCATATTTCCATACTGAACAACATTGATAAATTATTCCAGTGAGTAAACAAAATTTCAACTACTAAATGCATGTACCTAAAATGACTAAGGGAAGAAAGATATGTAACAATGGGGAACAAGGTCTAGACCATATGATGTAATTTTGCAATTAAAAGTCGCTGCTTGATTCCATCTTGGGCGTTCTTTCATTAAACGAGGCTCCAGACAAACGTATTTTAATTGGTAACGACTGAATTAGGACCAATAACCTAATTATAAATTAGGTCTAATTACATCGTTTCAATTAGTCAAGCAGAAAAACATTCCTAGGAAAATACGTGGGCATTTTTGAAACGGTAGACGGGGTTTAATTGGGCTAATAAATCAAATCTCTTAATTAGACGTCAAGCGCCCAATTTTAATCTCGACGATGGACGTATTTGGTTCCACATAGTTAACCACGACACTTAAATAATCGAAGATCTAAATTGGTAATTATTTCTATTTTTGCGCAATTGACCATATGGAAATATTGCACGAGCGGATTTTCCGAGAATATCGGCCTTGATGCGAAAACCGCCAATTTGCAGCTGGTTACTAACAAAGGACCGAACGTTAAAAATCAGCGAGGAGAATCTCCACCGTCGTTCATGGCAATAGTAAACAAAATGATTACCTACATAAAAAGCGACCAATTATTTATTGTTAGAACAATTGGATTTAATGCACATCCTGCCTTGTCCGTGTATAAAAAAGCGAGGACGTCGGCTGTTGGTAACAGTTCGTGACGTGAACCGGTTACGCGTACGATTATATAGGTAAGTTGCGACCGGCCCGAAAGCGGAACCCTGTGACACCCCTAACAGTGACTGTCGTTGCAGCAAACAAACATGAAGCTCGTACTGCTTGTGGTGGCTATAGCTTTGGTGGTCTTCCAAGACGTTAACGCCGGATGTGAGGATCAAACGCCTCCCTGCTCGTGTAAGGTAGGTCAGGGGGTGTGGAAGTCGGGATCGGCCGGGTGCAAGTACATCTGCAAGGAGGGTGTCGTTGAAATGACGTGCGCGCAAGCAGACGAAACCTACAAACGCGAACAGAAACAAGGTTAAACATGTTGTAACTTTTATTTATATCAATAAAGAATCACCTGGCCTTTTTATTGCTTGATACTTAATTAGGTGCATAATTACTAATTAGTTTTTTGCTATTTCATTACTTTTGTAATTAATAACAGACGATTTTGAGCAAACATCTTTTTTTCCTCTTTTTACCTGGGGAGGTCAGGCAGGGGAAGAACCTTACTTCAAAATAATTGGTGTGCAAACCCATCAAGGACTACTTGCCTCACTTGCAATTTTGTCAACCCATCATCTTCCACAAGTAAAGCTAATTGTTTCTAATTATTTGTTATCCAATTAATGCTAATTACTAATTAGAACGTCTTTACACATGGAGTAGAGCTTTTAATTGGCACTTGACTCTTTTGCTAATAGATTGCTATTTACTGATTCACATTACTCTAGCTTAATCTAATTAATTCCCTATATGTCTTTGAGAGACTGCCAGTTCTTCTTAATAAGGGTAATTAGTCATTAGTCCTTTTCTGCGTTTTTTATGTGCTTTTTGGAGCAGTGTATTTGCATTATTCGGTCTTCGGTCTTCCGAGTGCACTTGAGTGTCTGGAACACGATGACTATTGACGTCCAAAAGTACCTTCAACATTTCCTAGAGTTACCAAAATGCTTTTTAGATCGCGACAGTATACTTTGGAAATGCTCTGGAAAAGGCTTTTGTAAATATCAAGTAGATTTTAAAGAGGCATAGACGGCTCTGGAAAGACTTAAAGAGGTTTTGGATTGTGATAGAATGCGCTGGTGACCTTATTGCCAGTTGAAACTTTTCGAAAATCACTGGCAAGCGCCCAGAAGATCTTGAAAGGGCCCACTTTTTAAATTCTTTCCCTTCTAAAGCTTTTTTCATTTCTTATGTTCTTTAAAGAACTGGATAAGCACTGGAAAGACCGTAAAGTGCCCCCTTTAGGCACTTAATTGCGCTAAAAGGCTCTGCAAAGCACTAAGCAACCCAAAGTGCAGTACCACTCGGAAGATTCTTGATTTTAGAATTCCGGAAAGCACTAAAAGACTTACATCGCTTTACACCGCCTTTCCATGCAACAGCTTAGGACCTCATAGATAGATATATGGCAAAGGATGGGAGTGGAACAAAGGCCGACGACCAACGAAATTGGATGCCTTACTGCGAAAGCTGACAGAGTTCTCAATGCCAAAAACATCATCTGGGTCGAGGAAACGTAGGACTTACTGGTGGAACGCCGAGATAGCCGCTCTTAGGCGTGGAAAGTAGAAGGCGGAAGTAGGGCACCTAAACGCCAGGAAAGTGGAAAAATTAAGGACCAGCCGCAAATAACAGAGGGGCGCGATCGAAAAAAGGAAGAAAGAATGTTGGCGAGAGCCACGGGGAAAAGCATATAGGATAGTAGTCGGGAAGATTGGCGAGCAATCGGACTGGACGCAGAAGTCCAAGAACATGTACCGGCACTGTTCTCTCTGAGAGAAAGGGTTGACCGGCAGATGGCGGTAGATGTTCAAGACAACCAAAGGAAGATCGAAGAAAAAGATATCACGGAGACAGCCAAAAGAATGCACAAGAAGAAAGCTACAGAGCCGGGCGGACTCCATCCGGAATTCGTGGCACTGGTGGCAAAGAGAGCCTTCCAGATGTTTTTCTGGCGCCTTGGAGGCAGCTATGAGGGAAGGGAAATCCCCACCAACGTGGAAAAGTGCCGAGGTGGTGTTGATCTATATCTATATGGAAGGCCTCCCAAAATCAGTATGGTTTCGTAAAAGGAAGGGGGGCGAAAGAAGCACTCCAAAATCTGGTAGAGACGGCTAGAAGGGCTAAGGCATGGTATCTCTGGACATCCAAAACGCGTTTAACAGTCTGCGTACGGATGTGGTAATAGACGCCCTAGAATGGACGGGAGCGGCGAGTACAATTCGTAAATTAATGTATAGATACTTAACAGAGCGGAAAATGAATGTAAGACTCCGTCCGCAAACAGTTATGAAATAGAGGTAATTGGAGGCATCCCTCAAGGATCAGTATTAGAGCCACTGCTGTGGAATATGGCGTACGATGAAGTGGTAGGGATGAGAAGAGGTTAAAATTGGCGGGGGAAAATCCAAAGCGGCAGCCACAGTAGGCAACTTCCCCAGATAGTGGTGAAGATTGAGGCGCGGGGGAGGGGGGGGCCTTGAATAGAATTATTAGGAATCACAAGAGATAGAAGCTTTCGTCAACAACGTGAAAATCTGGGCCGAAAAGGTCAAGCTCATGCCAAAACTGCTGCAAATCCTGTTCGGGAACATATGGGGCCTCAGCGCAAGCAAGAGGAGGATAATCAGTACCGCGGTAAACAACGCCGTGTTATATGGAGTTGAAGTTTGGAGGACGGCAGTTAAAAAGAGAAAAGTCAGGGAAATCCTAGAGCGGGTGCAGAAATGTATGGCCCTAAAGCATAGCCTCGGCTTATAGAACGGTCAGTAACAAAGATCTTTGTGTAGTGCCCGGGATAATACCACTGGGAAGCGGAGGCTAGATCAGAAGGGTCCACTAGGAAAGATTCCTTGGCTCGCTGGAAGGAGGAATGGGGTCGTAGGAAGTGCTGGACAAGTAAATTGATTCCCGACGCCCAGAAATGGCACAAGAGAAAGCACGAAGGGAGAGGTGCACTACCATCTAACACAGTTCTTAACGAAACACGGGGAGAACGCAGAGTACCTACACAGGTTCAGAAGGCCACAGACTGCGGGCACAAGACACTCCAGGACCCGCACTATTTGAGTGTCAGAGGCTGAGAATGGAGTTGGCGGACCGGATAGATCACCGACAGCATGATAGAGTCAGAGTAGCTGTAGGATGATAGACGAGTTCATCACACAGGTGACACGAACGAGAGAGAGGGAGGCCAAGCGAGCACAATAATAGCGCACCCCCGACAAGTTGGGATTTATTAAGGGGGAAGTGGTTTAGTGAGGGCAGGGCCCACACTACCTCCGCCATAAAAACAGGCATTCCATCATCCCCATGATTATATTAAAAAAAAGGGAACACTCATTACCCAACCACTAGTGAAACTCTCTACTGTATTTTTTGCATTGTCTATTATAATTAATTAGGAATGTTAGTCTCGTTCAGAAGGCTAATTTGCATGTACTCTACGTTGCGTGTTTGGGGTGCACAAGTGAATTTCTCCATTATTATTGGCACATTATTTCTAATTACTGGAAGTAGTTTTTTTTACTTAGTGGAGTTGGTATTTCGTTAAATACTGCATACAACAAAAAAAGGGAGGTTGTTTCGCGACGGTAGGAAAAGAGAGTACGTCCTTTATGTTATTTCCTCAAACTGTCCACTAGATTTGATTGGTTGAAGACGCAATTCGTCATTTTCATTATATTTCACCGTTAGGCATAAGTTTACGAAGAGAGAAAAAACTGTAAGTAATGTTAAGATTCTCTTATATTTAATTATCGACCGTCTGCGTACGGGGTACCATGTAAAAACAGGCTGTCGAGTCACCTTTGAAATTTTTGGTTTACATGGAAAATCGTACTTAACTTGAACATCCAAAGGTGACTAAACAGCAACTCGTTTTTGATCTCCCGTTAATAGCATCAGTATATCGCTGGACTATAAACAGTGCAACACTGGGAGTATTCATACATATAGAAGGGGCTTTTGACAAAACAATCTTCGAAACAATAGAAATGACTACGCCACCACAGCATAACGAAAGTCTTTCAGTGTACATCAGCGTTGGCGACGAAATACTAAGGTGTGCAGTTGTGGGGGGATGCTCCTAAGGTAAATTGCTATCACCCTTTTGTGGAATTTAACTGTAAACAGCCTCCTCTGTCGCCAAAATGACAGGTATATCCATGCCATTTTTCAGAGTCAGTAAAATATCTAGGAATTACAGTTGACAAAAAACTCAAAGCCGAAAAATCAAATAGGTCTTTCTGGTAAAGTCGACCCGCAATTGGGAGACTTCCGACTTGTGGTTGTCCTCTGCCGTGATAAGACATATGCTCTGCTATGGAGCAATTGTCTGGTGGCCTAGAACCCTACTGTCCACAACTGTATCACTTCTTAATCATGTGCAAAAATTTGCCACGGGCGCCATGCGAACAACTCCCACAGCCGTCATGAAGGCGCTTCTAGGTCTACCTCCACTGGACCTCACGCAAGAAGGGGGGGGCACTCTCGAATTCTGGGCGCGGCGATTAAGCGTTTAAGGGCGATTGGACTCACTCAATCCTAAAATGATGTGATCATCTTTCTTGATGTCGCATTCCAACCAGACATATCCATCTTCACGGATTTCGAAATTGAGTTGGTGTCGCTTTACACTTATCTCGTTTATTGAGGATTTGAATGGGAATTTTTACACGTGACAGCCGATATCTGACGGTTGAGCCGAGGAAATTTAATAATTATTACATCTTTATTCGTATTAATTGGTTTCTACGCCCTCTTATTAACTTAGAGAGGGGGTTTCTTCCGGGTATTTATTGCAGAATAATACCAGCCCAGCTCGAGGGTATTAAAACGACCAGGGTTTTTCCGTCCGAAGATATACATTTAATTGAGCGCGATATTTAATAATTATTACATCTTTATTCGTATTAATTGGTTTCTACGCCCCCTTATTAACTTAGAGAGGGGTTTTCCTCCGGGTATTTATTGCGGAATAATACCAGCCCAGCTCGAGGGTGTTAAAACGACCAGGGTTTTTCCGTCCGAAGATATACATTTAATTGAGCGCGATATTTAATAATTATTACATCTTTATTCGTATTAATTGGTTTCTACGCCCTCTTATTAACTTAGAGAGGGGTTTTCCTCCGGGTATTTACTGCGGAATAATACCAGCCTAGCTCGAGGGCGTTAAAACGACCAGGGTTTTTTCGTCCGAAGATATACATTTAATTGAGCGCGATATTTAATAATTATTACATCTTTATTCGTATTAATTGGTTTCTACGCCCTCTTATTAACTTAGAGAGGGGGTTTCTTCCGGGTATTTATTGCAGAATAATACCAGCCCAGCTCGAGGGTATTAAAACGACCAGGGTTTTTCCGTCCGAAGGTATACATTTAATTGAGCGCGATATTTAATAATTATTACATCTTTATTCGTATTAATTGGTTTCTACGCCCTCTTATTAACTTAGAGAGGGGTTTTCCTCCGGGTAGTTATTGCGGAATAATACCAGCCCAGCTCGAGGGTGTTAAAACGACCAGGGTTTTTCCGTCCAAAGATATACATTTAATTGAGCGCGATATTTAATAATTATTACATCTTTTATTCGTATTAATTGGTTTCTTCACCCTCTTATTAACTTAGAGACGGGTTTTCCTCCGGGTATTTATTGCGGAATAATACCAGCCCAGCTCGAGGGTGTTAAAACGACCAGGGTTTTTCCGTCCGACGATATACATTTAATTGAGCGCGATATTTAATAATTATTACATCTTTATTCGTATTAATTGGTTTCTACGCCCTCTTATTAAGTTAGAGGGGGACTTTCCTCCAAGGTATCTATTGCGGAATAATACCAGCCCAGCTCGAGGGTGTTAAAACGACCAGGGTTTTTTCGTCCGAAGATATACACTTAATTGAGCGCGATATTTAATAATTATTACATCTTTATTCGTATCAATTGGTTTCTACACCCTCTTATTAACTTAGAGAGGGGTTTTCCTCTGGGTATTTATTTCGGAATAATACCAGCCCAGCTCGAGGGTGTTAAAACGACCAGGGTTTTTCCGTCCGAAGATATACATTTAATTGAGCGCGATATTTAATAATTATTACATCTTTATTCGTATTAATTGGTTTCTACGCCCTCTTATTAACTTAGAGAGGGGTTTTCCTCCGGGTATTTATTGCGGAATAATACCAGCCTAGCTCGAGGGCGTTAAAACGACCAGGGTTTTTTCGTCCGAAGATATACACTTAATTGAGCGCGATATTTAATAATTATTACATCTTTATTCGTATCAATTGGTTTCTACACCCTCTTTAACTTAGAGAGGGATTTTCCTCTGGGTATTTATTTCGGAATAATACCAGCCCAGCTCGAGGGTGTTAAAACGGCCAGGGGTTTTCCGTCCGAAGATATACATTTAATTGAGCGCGATATTTAATAATTATTACATCTTTATTCGTATTAATTGGTTTCTACGCCCTCTTATTAACTTAGAGAGGGGTTTTCCTCCGGGTATTTATTGCGGAATAATACCAGCACTGCTCGAGGGTGTTAAAACGACCAGGGTTTTTCCGTCCGAAGATGTACATTTAATTGGGCGCAATACCTGTGTCAGGGAGATAACGGCCACCTTGAAGCAAACATTTAACCAGCCAGGGGATACCTTCCTTTACTTGTGTGTGTTATAGGGATAAATTTGCATTGTAATAAGTAATTGTTAACGTCAGTAATTTACCGTAACTCCTACCGCGTGAATTTTTTTTGTTACAGGAGAGCCTTCTACAGCGACCAGGTTTTATTAATATTTATTAATAATAATTAATATATTAATACTTGTGGTTTCAGTATCGAAACAATTATTGATCGTATTTCATTTTGCTACAACAATTTAAAAAAGCTCCCGTCACAACAACCAAGAAAATAAGTTTCAACACCCAAAGTGGCGACCGAAAACAATGACTGGAGTAATTTGTAGCGTATGAACTAAAAAATCTAGTAGTAATAATTCCAAGCTTGTTTTTGGAGCATTTTCAAAATTTGTAGTCGTAAGTAGCTTGCGTGTTCAAAAAGTTTTGTTAAAATGCATTTAAGGCACGTGCGGTTTGTCACGGAACAACCAATGACATTGACTCACTCTTAGCTGATTAAAATTGTTTATTTTGCTATTTGTTTTGACAAATTGTGTAAAATTATTCACAAGTTTATGTATTTAATTAAATTCATTGCGCTAGGTCTCCCGATAAATATTTCGACATAAGTCCAGGTAGGTATATAAGGTAAGGATCACTATAGTAGCTCTGTCATAAAACAATTTTCTTGGTACTAAGAAAGTAGTAATAGTCCAACGCTAGAGCAAAAGTATCCCTGGTAAGTATTTAACAAATTATTTGTTTTGATCATTTCATTTATAACAATATAATAAATTGTAACAAAAGTTCTTTTGTTTTAGAAATGAAATACATAGTCGTAACACTCATCGCCTTAGCACTTTGCTACAATGCGTCTGCCCAATATCCTTGCGATCCCTATGGTAGGAACCCCGAATGTGATTGTGGAGAAATTGGCGAAATATACTGGACGGAATCGGCGAGAATTTGCGAATTTAGGTGTAGGGACATGTACGGCAGGATATATACGTGCGAGGAAATAGAAGTAATGTAGAGACTACGGCACGATCGTAGTAATATTAAGTACCACTCTGTCACATACGCAGACCGTTTAAATATTTTGATTTTAAACCAATGCCTGTTTGCGCCTCACAATTCAAAACTTAATTGAGAAATACAATCGCACTATTCCATGCTTTCTTATTTATGGTTAGTGAACGGTACAAAAGTGTATTGATTTATTCAAAAACGATCTTCAAACATCCAGAGGTCTTTAAGAGACTTTGCAGAGTTCTTTCAGGATTCTGTAAATGTAACACAAAATGCGTAGGGATTTCGTAGAAACTCTGTAGAAATAAATCAGCTTCCTTGAATGAAATCCACTTTGTTAAATGACTCGACTAGGGGGCGAGGATCGGTCTACAAACGGCACGAGTTGAAGGGCGTACTCTCCAGATCTTCTCAACGTCCTACCGAGATTAGTTTTAGAGAGCGATGAATTACTCTGGAAAATCCACGGTCCTTTTGGAAAGTCTTCAAACTCTCTGTAAACACTCACACTCCTCTAGAATCATCTCTAGAAAGACCAAAAAAAGCCGGAAGACGTGTAAAAAGCGTTGAAAAAACCGTGAACTATACCAGAGAGCTCTTGAATATACTGAAAAACAGCTAGGGCTCCAGAAAACATTAGGAAGGCGTTGAAAAGTCAGAAAAAAGTAGTCCAAGAAACTTTCGAATGATAAAACACGATGTAAAGCTTTACATTTTCGATTGAAATGCTTTGAAGGCTGCGGAAAGCACTCATAACACGTTTTGGAAAGGCCCAAAAAAGAAGAGGTTTCCTAGAGGAACTTCGGTTGCGCTGAAAAGAAGAATTTATTTCTCCCGGAACTTCCGTTCACCAGGAATTAGTTTTAAGAAAACCTGTACACGAAAAATTACATTACGACAGCTTAGTGACCAAGATGTCTACCATTATAGAGGGTATGACGTTGGTCAAATTAAGGAAAAGATACGCAATTAAAAAGTTATCATCATGATTTTAAGAGAATCGAAAAATTCCGATTACTTTCCGAGATATTCCACAAAATTTAACGACTTTTTATAACGTTCATTAAAAAAGTACATAGTGTATTGAGCAACAATTTTTATTACAAATACAATGATGTACAGCGTAGAGTACACAAAAAAAGTTGTACACTGTTGGTTTCAACAGGATGGTGCCCCCGCGCACAACGCCCTAATCGTGCGAGAATACCTATCCGACAAATTTTTCGATTAATATTCTCGGCACACTTATGAATTTATGCACTAGATGACAATAGAGTGTGAATGTAGAATTTTCTTAAATTTTGAATCTCGAATCATGAATCTTCAATCTCAAATCTTGAATCGTATTGAAGCTTGAATTTTCTTTGCATCTTCAATTTTCCTGAATCTTTAATTTTCTTCTGTCGAATCTACTTGAATCGTGAGTCTCGAACTTTATTGAATCTTGACTCTGGAATATTGAGATCTTGAATTTATTGTATCTTGAATTTTCTAGAGTATCGAATATTCCTGTATCTTGAATTTTGAATCTTTTTAAGTCGACTCAAAATGATTCAGGACGATTATCAAGACGATTTAAGGCGATTAAAGACGATTCCAGATTCAAGATTCAAAATTCAAGATACAGGAATATTCGATACTCTAGAAAATTCAAGATACAATAAATTCCTTGAATTTTCTAGAGTATCGAATATTCCTGTATCTTGAATTTTGAATCTTGAATCTGGAATCGTCTTTAATCGCCTTAAATCGTCTTGATAATCGTCCTGAATCATTTTGAGTCGACTTAAATCGTGTTAAATCATCTTGAATCGTTCTGAATCTTTAATTTTATTGAGTGCCGAATTTTCTTGAATTGTGAATCTCGAATTTTCTTGAATCTTGTCTCTGGAATCTTATTGAATCTTGAATTTTCTCGAATGTTTAATTTTCTTGAGGATTGAATCGTCTTGAATCCCCTGGAATCGTCTTTCGTCTTAAATCTTGAATTTTCTTGAATCTTGAATGTAGAATTTTCTTGAATCTCGAATCATGAATATTCAATCTCAAATCTTGAACCTTGAATCGTATTGAAGCTCGAATTTTCTTGAATCTTCAATTTTCCTTAATCTTTAATTGTCTTGTATCGAATCTTCTTGAATCGTGAATCTCGAATTTCCTGGAATCTTGACTTCTTGAATCTTGACTCTGGAATCTTATTGGATCTTGAATTTTATTGAACCTTGAATTTTCTAGAATGGTAGATTTTCTTTATTTCGAATCTTCTAGAATCTTGCAACTTTTTCAATCTTAAATTTACTTGAATCTGGAATTCGCTTAAATCCTTCCTCGAATCTTGAATTTTTTTGAATATTGAATATTCCTGTATCTTGAATTTTGAATCTTGAATCTGGAATCGTCTTCATTCTTCTTGAATCGTCCTCAATCATATTGAGTCGACTTAAATCGTGTTAAATCATCTCGAATCGTTCTGAATCGTCTTGAATTGTTAAATCTTCAATTTTCTTGAATCTTAAATTTTCTTGAGCGTTGAATCGTTTTGAATCGTCTGGAATCGTCTTTAATGGTTTTAAACCTTGAATATTATTGAATCTTGAATTTTATTGAATCTTGACTGTAGCTTTTCTTAAATTTTGAATCTCGAATCATGAATATTCAATCTCAAATCTTGAATCTTGAATCGTATTGAAACTCGAATTTTCTTGAATCTTCAATTTTCCTTAATCTTTAATTTTCTTGTATCGAATCTTCTTGAATCGTGAATCTCGAATTTCCTTGAATCTTGACTTCTTGAATCTTGACTCTGGAATCTTATTGGATGTTGAATTTTATTGAACCTTGAATTTTCTAGAATGGTAAATTTTCTTTATTTCGAATCTTCTAGAATCTTGCAACTTTTTGAATCTTAAATTTACTTGAATCTGGAATTCGCTTAAATCCTTCCTCGAATCTTGAATTTTTTTGAATATTGAATATTCCTGTATCTTGAATTTTGAATCTTGAATCTGGAATCGTCTTGAACCTTATTGAATCGTCCTGAATCATATTGAGTCGACTTAAATCCTGTTAAATCATCTCGAATCGTTCTGAATCGTGTTAAATCTTCAATTTTCTTGAATCTTGAATTTTCTTGAGTGTTGAATCGTTTTGAATCGTCTGGGATCGTCTTTAATTGTCTTAAACCTTGAATATTATTGAATCTTGAATTTTATTGAATCTTGACTGTAGACTTTTCTTAAATTTTGAATCTCGAATCATGAATATTCAATCTCAAATCTTGAATCTTGAATCGTATTGAATCTCCAATTTTTTCTTAATCTTTAATTTTCTTGTATCGAATCTTCTTGAATCGTGAATCTCGAATTTCCTTGAATCTTGACTTCTTGAATCTTGACTCTGGAATCTTATTGGATCTTGAATTTTATTGAATATCGAATATTCCTGTATCTTGAATTTTGAATCTAGAATCGTATTAAATCGTCTTTAATCTTCTTGAATCGTCTTGATCATCTTGAATCGTCTGAAATCGTCTTAGATCCTGAATATTATTGAATCTTGAATGTAGAATTTTCTTAAATTTTTAATCTCGAATCATGAATTTTCAATCTCAAATCTTGAATCTTGAATCGTATTGAAGCTTGAATTTTTTTGAATCTTCAATTTTCCTCAGTCTTTAATTTTTTGTGGCGAATCTTCATGATTCGTGAATTTTCTTGAATCTTGCTTTCTTGAATCTTGACTCTGGAATCTTATTGGATCTTGAATTTTCTCGAATGCACGCAACTGATGTCATACGTGTATTGAGTGTTGCATACTTCTACTTTGAATTTTCGATGCAACATGGCGGCTGGGCTCCTATCGTCGCCAAGGTTTGCACAATTCGAATTATTATTATTGGTATTCGAATTGTGCAAGCTATAACGCTTTAACCATTTATATTTTCCCCGTTTTACAAAGGGAGAATTAAACATAAAAAGCTGGGTGTCGTTCAAATCTATAGTAAGTTGCAAGGGAGGTTACGAAGAATAATGTCCAATCGAATCAACCACTGGGAAGAATCTCAAGATCTTTACAGGGGAAAATTTCGCTTATGTGATGGATTTGTGCTCCTGTCTGCCCATCTGTTTGTCCCACTGTTCTTCGTATAATTCGAGAACAAGGAGAGACAGCGGTGTCAATCGATTTCTACGAGTTCAAGGATCAATGCTATTGAATATGAGCCGGATTAAAAGTCGTGTTTCCGAATGCGAGCCGATTGTCAACATATTTCCATACTGAAAATCATATGCGATTCTTCGTACCTTGTTCCTTTACAACCCTGTCGTTTGAGTTACTATTACCATCTGTAGGTATTTCGTTTGCCGTTTTAGGTTAGGCACGTGGTTCGATTTGTCACGGGATTAATCTTGAAAACAACCAATGGTGATGACTGAGTCTCGACTGATTAAAATTGTTTATTTTGCTGTTTGTTTCGACAAATAGTGTAAAATTATTCCTCAGTGTGTGTACTTAATTAAGCTGTAATTGCGATTACTATAATAAACGGATATCCTTTAAATATTTCGACTTACGTAAGTACAGGTATATAAGGTACGCGATTAGCTCTGTCATACAACAATCTTTTTAGTACTAAGTAAGTATTTTTTAATATTTATAGTAAGCAGTTATAATAAATTTGTTCTTTTGTTTTAGAAATGAAATACATCGTCGTAACACTCATCGCTTTAGCACTTTGCTACCGTGTGTCTGCCCAAGATCCCTGCGATCCCTATGGAAGATATCCCGAATGCAATTGTGGCGAGATTGGTGCAATATACTGGACGAGATTGGCGGAAATTTGCCAATTTAGGTGTAGAGACATCTACGGCCAACTGTATACGTGCGAGGAAATAAGACTAATGTAGAGACTACGGAATGATCGTAGCAACACTGCCACTGTCACAAACGCAGACCGTTTAAATAAAACATTTTGATTTTAAACCAATGCCTGTGGGCGCCTAACAACTCAAGGTATTGTACTATCCTACCCATCTGTCTGGAGTCCTGCCAGCATAACATTTTCAAAAAGTTTATCAGTGACCAGTTTTAAATAAATCAACTAGAAAGAGAGCAACTTTTTTATTTATGGTTTGAAACTTTAGACTCTTCTCAGAAACGTATTGAGGCTGATAGGTTACCATGCAATAATTTTGCAGTGGCCTCCGGGCGAATTGTCCGGGGGCGAATTATCCGGGCGCCAATATTCCGCATACCACTGAAAATATAGTGCTATTAAGCTACTTGCTTTGCGTACGTGAATATTTGAGGGTCATTTCATGATTGTATTACAGTTTTTATATATTTTTATCTAAATAACACACAGTACCACAAAAAAGTTTGGGTCCAAGGTGCAAAAAATTTCGTTGCGCTACATTTTGGGTGACAAGTTACGTTAAAGAACCAGTTTATGAACCAAAGGTGTGCACCAAATTGTTTATACAAGGTGGTAATAATATTATAAATAAAAGGGCAACCGGTAAAAGTAAAAGATTAAAAACAATGCCCTTTTTTACCCCAATGGGTAAACTAACGTGCGGGTGGTAAAAAGACGTTCCACCATCCAATTTTCCAAATCGACACCTCCTGTACTGAGCCTATGCCTCAAGGTTAGTGCTTAATGTCCTAGTCTTTGTTGTAGGCAACCCTATTTTAGCCCCCGTGATGTGAGATCCATATAAAAGAAGAAAGGACTCTCATTAGTTAAATTAGAATCATTATCATCAATTGTTCATAATTACTCAGTCGTTGTTGTTATAGCCTTGTGAATTTTGCATAATTAGGAAAAATTTTTTTGTGCGCAGGTATATAAATGGAAGATTGCAACAATAATCATATTTTATGTTCTTCCAGCACCAAGCGAGTAAGTATTTCTGTTGATCCGTACGACACAGTGTGACGCAGGTTATCTATGTCTCAGACATGAACTACATTTTGGGAGTCCTCGTCGTCTTTGCGCTCTGCTACAGTGCGGCCGCACAACATCCTTGCGATCTGCAAGGAAGGAGACACCAATGTGACTGCGGCGTCATCGGTGAGGTATACTGGACTGGAATGGCACAGATTTGCGAATTTAGGTGTAGAGACATGTACGGCAGAATCTATACGTGCGACGAAATAAATGTGATGTAGTGATGATCGTAGCAATATTAAGTACCACTTTGTCAAATACGCAGACTGTTTCAATAAAATGATTATAAACCAATTAGACGTTTCTAAGTGACTTTGTAAATTGTTCTGCAACAAGGGACAAAAAGGCACAAGCCAGAAACAAGAGAAGATTCAGCAACATATTTTATATTCCTCTAGTAAAGTGCTGCAAATATGCAAAAATATGCAAATGAACACAAAAATCACTATTTTCGACCTTGTACCTAGGCATTATTTAAGGGATAATAAACATAGATTTAAAAGAGCCCCAATATTTATATATTTGGTGTCAATACTCCCTAGATTGCTTTGATTCCAAAAAAAAAGAAATTTGGAAATGAAACCTAGGAATCTTCTCATGTTGATTTTCCACTTGTCGAGCGAAGTTATTCAAAGAAAAAATTGAAGAACTGTAGAAGTAATTTGAATCAGCCCTTCATTTTTAAGGCCGATCTGACAGTTAGTTTTCATGGAAACCAACCCGATAAGAGGTTATCAGAAAAGCTACCTGAGTTTTAGAAATATCCTTTTGAAACTGATCCATACAATGTATTGCTTTAAAATGGAGTGACTTGGTGAATGTTTCTAGCAGATTCGACTTTTCAATTTATAAAACCCGATGAGACCGTAATTTCTTCCAAATCTTCGATTAAATTCGTTTTCCCGGAATATCGAAACCGTCTGTCTGTCCAGTTGGTTTCATTTGTATTCAACTATAATTAAACTTCCGGGGACAGTTTTTGATCAATTGCCCTTGAAGCCCATTGTGCATTTTCACACGAAGTTAATTTTGCGAATAGTTAATTAAAAGCCACCTCAAAAACAAAAACAAACCTTTAATTAATTGAATACCTTTATTTATGATTCGTTAAGGTATTACTAATTAGACGTTCGCTTATAGGACGACATATAAGGTAGGAAATGTGTCCATTGTTTCCATTGTAGCGTTACCTCGGTACTGAGCAAGTAAGTGTTTCTCTCAGTTTCAGCCGAGTAATTCCGTACTTTCAGAAATGAAATACGTCTTCGTTACCCTCTTCGTCTTGGCGCTCTTCTATCATGCGGCCGCACAACAGCCCTGTAGGTTCTATGGCAGAGGCCAACAATGCGACTGCGGGCCACTTGCTGCGGTGTTCTGGATTGGATCGACCCAAATTTGCGAGTTCAAATGCAGAGATCAGTATGGCAGAATGTTTTCATGCGAACAAGTGAGAATGCTTTAGATACCCATCGATTGTCATAAGCGTAAGGATATATTTATTATTATTTAAATAAAAGATACTATGTTGCCTTTTGTCTCCATAGCAATGCCTCATCCAAAATTACCCGTTACAGATACACCTTCAAAGGCTGGTTTCAACCCTGTATGGAATTTTTTAATTGTAGGAAATGTTTCCAGAAAAGAAAGCCTTTCTGATCGTCTTTCCTGGAGTTAAAACGCTCTCCTGGAAATGAAAGTAATTTCTTGCTTCTTACTATTTCTCACATTTTCGGTCAACTCTTTGAATCCAAAGTCTTTAATAAAGTTTTCTACAAAACCATTGGCTTTTTACACGTTTTTCGAAAAGAGGGTTTTCGGCATTACATTCGTACTATCATGTTATTCCTGCATCGTTTAGAATGAAAGCTGAAAGTCATTCCTGAAGATGATAATTTATGAATAAATATGTTTAAATACGAGAAATAGAATATCATAGTATAAATACCATGGCAATCAAACCAAATTTTTCAAATTGAACAGAACTTTGACGATAGAAAATTTGCATATTATTTGGAGCACGAAGAAGTTGAAGCGGCGAAAGCACAAAGCTTTCTTAAAACTCCTATAGGCTCGACTTTTAAAAAGGAGAGAATGTAAGTTTTTCGAAAACACTTGGGGAGCCTTGAAGTCGTGGAACCCCTGAAATTCTCACAAAGGCTCTCAAGTAAACACTACCCAAGAGCGCTAAGGGAAGACCATTGAAGTTGGAAGGCAGTGCCGAGCAAGCCGAAGTCGCATTCGGCTCGCTCGGCACTGGTCTAAAATATATTACTTTTACGTGACTCTTTAATAACAGGCATATTTTAATGAAATGATTTAAAACAATGACTTAAAAAATTTCTCAAACCTAAAGTAGACGGAAATTTATTATTAAAGGGTTGTTTAAGGGTTGGTTACAGATTATTTAAACATAATCTATCAAAGAAACAAAAAAGTTCAGTGTACTACATAAAGTAACAACCCCCGCAATTTAAGAGTGCTTTACATGCTGGTATGTATGACTTAAAAAAATTTCGCAAACTTGAAGCAGCCGCAAACTTATTATTAAAGTGTTATTTAAGGGTTGGTTACAGATTATTTAAACATAATCTATCAAAGAAACAAAAATGTTCGGTGTACTACGTAAAGTAACAACCCCCGCAATTTAAGAGTGCTTTACATGCTGGTATGTATGACTTAAAAAAATTTCGCAAACTTGAAGCAGCCGCAAACTTATTATTAAAGTGTTATTTAAGGGTTGGTTACAGATTATTTAAACATAATCTATCAAAGAAACAAAAAAGTTCAGTGTACTACATAAAGTAACAACCCCCGCAATATAAGAGTGCTTTACATGCAGGTATGAATGACTTAAAAAATTTCGCAAACCTAAAGTCGACGGAAATTTATTTTTAAAGGGTTGTTTAAGGGTTGGTTACAGATTATTTCAACATAATCAATCAAAGAAACAAAAATGTTCGGTGTACTACGTAAAGTAACAACCCCCGCAATTTAAGAGTGCTTTACATGCTGGTATGTATGACTTAAAAAAATTTCGCAAACTTGAAGCAGCCGCAAACTTATTATTAAAGTGTTATTTAAGGGTTGGTTACAGATTATTTAAACATAATCTATCAAAGAAACAAAAAAGTTCAGTGTACTACATAAAGTAACAACCCCCGCAATATAAGAGTGCTTTACATGCAGGTATGAATGACTTAAAAAATTTCGCAAACCTAAAGTCGACGGAAATTTATTTTTAAAGGGTTGTTTAAGGGTTGGTTACAGATTATTTCAACATAATCAATCAAAGAAACAAAAATGTTCGGTGTACTACGTAAAGTAACAACCCCCGCAATATAAGAGTGCTTTACAGGCAGGCAAGAATGACAAAAAATTTCGCAAACTTGAGGCAACCGCAAATTTATTATTAAAGGGTTGTTTAAGGGTTGGTTACAGATTATTTCAACATAATCTATCAAAGAAACAAAAATGTTCAGTGTACTACGTAAAGTAACAACCCCCGCAATATAAGAGTGCTTTACATGCAGGTATGAATGACTTAAAAAAATTTCGCAAACCTAAAGTGGACGAAAATTTATTATTAAAGGGTTGTTTAAGGGTTGGTTACATATTATTGCAACATAATCTATCAATGAAACAAAAATGTTCGGTGTACTACGTAAAGTAACAACCCCCGCAATATAAGAGTGCTTTACATGCAGGCAAGAATGACTTAAAAAATTTCGCAAACTTGAGGCAACCGCAAATTTATTATTAAAGGGTTGTTTAAGGGTTGGTTACAGATTATTTCAACATAATCTATCAAAGAAACAAAAATGTTCGGTGTACTACGTAAAGTAACAACCCCCGCAATATAAGAGTGCTTTACATGCTGGTATGAATGCCTTAAAAAATTTCGAAAACCTAAAGTAGACGGAAATTTATTTTTAAAGGGTTGTTTAAGGGTTGGTTACATATTATTGCAACATAATTTATCAAAGAAACAAAAATGTTCGGTGTACTACGTAAAGTAACAACCCCCGCAATATAAGAGTGCTTTACATGCAGGCAAGAATGACTTAAAAAATTTCGCAAACTTGAGGCAACCGCAAATTTATTATTAAAGGGTTGTTAAAGGGTTGGTTACAGATTATTTCAACATAATCTATCAAAGAAACAAAAATGTTCGGTGTACTACGTAAAGTAACAACCCCCGCAATATAAGAGTGCTTTACATGCTGGTATGTTAGGCTTAAAAATTTCGCAAACCTAAAGTAGACGAAAATTTATTATTAAAGGGTTGTTTAAGGGTTGGTTACAGATTATTTAAACATAATCTTCAAAGAAACAAAAATGTTCGGTGTACTACATAAAGTAACAAACCCCGCAATATAAGAGTGCTTTACATGCTGGTATGTATGACTTAAAAAAATTTCGAAAACCTAAAGTAGACGGAAATTTATTTTTAAAGGGTTTTTAAGGGTTGGTTACAGATTATTTAAACATAATCTATCAAAGAAACAAAAATGTTCGGTGTACTACGTAAAGTAACAACCCCCGCAATATAAGAGTGCTTTACATGCAGGTATGAATGACTTAAAAAAATTTCGCAAACCTAAAGTGGACGAAAATTTATTATTAAAGGGTTGTTTAAGGGTTGGTTACATATTATTGCAACATAATCTATCAATGAAACAAAAATGTTCGGTGTACTACGTAAAGTAACAACCCCCGCAATATAAGAGTGCTTTACATGCTGGTAGGAATGACTTTAAAGAATTTCGCAAACCTAAAGTAGACAGAAATTTATTATTAAAGGGTTGTTTAGGGGTTGATTACAAATTATTTAAACATAATCTATCAAAAAAACAAAAATGTTCGGTGTACTACGTAAAGTAACAACCCCCGCAATATAAGGGTGCTTACATGCAGGTATGAATGACTTAAAAAATTTCGCAAACTTGAAGCAGCCGCAAGTTTATTATTAAAGGGTTGTTTAAGGCTTGGTTACAGATTATTTAAACATAATCTGTCAAAGAAATAAAAATTTTCGGTGTACTACATAAAGTTACAACCCCCGCAATATAAGAATGCTTTACATTACATGGTGGTATGAATGACAAAAACCTTCCCAAACTTAAAGTAGACGGGCATTTATTAATGATGCGTTGTTTAAGGGTTGGTTACAGATTATTTAAACATAATCTATCAAAAAAACAAAAATGTTCGGTGTACTACATAAAGTTACAACCCCCGCACTGCAATATAAGGGTGCTTTACATGCTGGTATGAATGACAAAAACCTTCGCAAACTTAAAATAGGCGGAAATTTATTAATAATGCGTTGTTAAAGGGTTGGTTACAGACTATTTAAACATAATCTATCAAAGAAACAAAAATGTTCGGTGTACTACGTAAAGTAACAACCCCCCCATTTTAAGAGTGCTTTGCCTGCTGGTATGAATGACTTAAAAAATTTCGCAAACCTAAAGTAGACGGAAATTTATTAATAAAGGGTTGTTTAAGGGTTGGTTACAGATTATTTAAACATAATCTATCAAAGAAACAAAAATGTTCGGTGTACTACGTAAAGGAACAACCCCCGCAATATAAGAGTGCCTTTTATGCTGGTATGAATGACTTAAAAAATTTCGAAAACCTAAAGCAGACGAAAATTTATTAATAAAGGGTTGTTTAAGGGTTGGTTACAGATTATTTAAACATAATCTATCAAAGAAACAAAAATGTTCGGTGTACTACGTAAAGTAACAACCCCCGCAATATAAGAGTGCTTTACATGCTGGTATGAATGAGAAAAAATTTCGCAAACCTAAAGTAGACGGAAATTTATTAATAAAGGGTTGTTTAAGGGTTGGTTACAGATTATTTAAACATAATCTATCAAATAAACAAAAATGTTCGGTGTATTACGTAAAGTAACAACCCCCGTAGTATAAGAGTGCTTTACATGCTGGTATGAATGACTTAAAAAAATTCGCAAACCTAAAGTAGACGGAAATTTATTAATAAAGGGTTGTTTAAGGGTTGGTTACAGATTATTTAAACATAATCTATCAAATAAACAAAAATGTTCGGTGTACTACGTAAAGTAACAATCCCCGCAGTATAAGAGTGCTTTACATGCTGATATGAATGACTTAAAAAAATTCGCAAACCTAAAGTAGACGGAAATTTATTAATAAAGGGTTGTTTAAGGGTTGGTTACAGATTATTTAAACATAATCTATCAAATAAACAAAAATGTTCGGTGTACTACGTAAAGTAACAACCCCCGCAGTATAAGAGTGCTTTACATGCTGATATGAATGACTTAAAAAAATTCGCAAACCTAAAGTGGACGGAAATTTATTAATAAAGGGGTGTTTAAGGGTTGGTTACAGATTATTTAAACATAATCTATCAAATAAACAAAAATGTTCGGTGTACTACGTAAAGTAACCACCCCCGTAGTATAAGAGTGCTTTACATGCTGGTATGAATGACTTAAAAAAATTCGCAAACCTAAAGTGGACGGAAATTTATTAATAAAGGGGTGTTTAAGGGTTGGTTACAGATTATTTAAACATAATCTATCAAATAAACAAAAATGTTCGGTGTACTACGTAAAGTTACAACCCCTGCAATATAAGAGTGCTTTACATGCTGGTATGAATGACTTAAAAAATTTCGCAAACTTAAAGCAGGCGGAAATTTATTATTAAAGTGTTATTTAAGGGTTGGTTACAGATTATTTAAACATAATCCTCCAAACTAATACGGAGCGACAATCAAAGAAAC